AAGCGCAGTCCTAGAGCTTAACTGGCCACTCCATGCCTCGTGGGAGAAGCAACAGCTACTCTTTATTGGTGCCAGGCATTCAACACTTGTTAAAAAATGGATGAATGAACACATGGAAGGCTAACTTTAGTACCCAAGCTTTTAATCTGTGTATCCTCCATTCTGCCTCTCACATCACCACAGAAGCACTTTAAGAGCTAACCAGACACTTAAAGGTCATTCTAGAATGTGAGGTCCTTGGGGGCAGAGATGACTATCCTGTTCATCACCGTACCCTAGTGCCCAGATTGCTGACTGGCATATAGTAGGTGCTCAGTAAATATTCTCTGAATAACTGAAGAAATGTAATCCCACTCCTCATTACCCAGACAGGGAAGTTGAGGCCCAAAGAGGCAGGGACCTGCTTGCCCCTAGTCAGAAAGAGTCATGGTAGATCTGGACAGGCCCTGGGCTCCAGCTTCTCAGCTCAGGGCTCTTTCCCCTATATCAAAAGGCCCCATGGCAAACTCTTCCTGCCCTTCCCTACCCATTCACACATTCCTTATCCCCGCCCCCCCCCCCCAGCTTTCCCTCTTTCCTTTCTCTTTGCCAGCTAGATAATTAACCATTGGAAACAGAACCTATAATTACCGTCTCCCCCATGCCCTTAAATTGCTTTCAGTTTGGGTTCTATGACCCCTGTCCTGGATGGGGGTTGGTTTCCCCCTCAGCAGCCTCCCAAAGGGGAGCCAACCTAACAAGCACCAGCTGAGGCCCTCACTCCCCAGATCTGATGGCCAGCTGTACAGGAGGCTGGCAGCAGATGGGCGAGGAGGGTCTCCCCAGCAGGCTGGGGCTGACTCAGCTAGGGTGTCAGTGGGACTGTGACGTGCCTGGGCAGGACAGGAGACCAGGCAGGCAGGCAGGCAGGCCGGATTTCCGACAGTGATTGATGCCAGGTGGCCAAAGTGCCGCTTTCTCAGCAGGGCCCAACCTAGGATGGTCCCAGTAGAGCCAGGTCTTTTCTTGGGTCCTTTGGTTCATGCTCCTGTCCCTGCCTAGAGGGTGCCAGGCCATCCACATCCCTGGTGCCTCAGGGAGGCTGGGAGCTTAAAATGGACCAGTGCAGTAAGTCCCAAGAGCCCTGGCCTTTCAGCCCCACAAGGCCTAGCCATTCAGGGAAACTGAGGCCTGAATAGCACCTGCTCAGCTTGGCTTCATTGGTGATCTGGACTCAGCGTGTGGAGGAAGCCAAGCAGCCCCACCCTCACCTGGGAAGCATCCTCTATCCCTGACTCACCGGGAGGGAGTTTAGGCCCAGCTGGAACAGGAAGGAGAGCTGAGGGTGGGGCCGGTCTGGGGCCCTACCACAGAAAGCTCACACCCCCTGCCTCCAGCTAGCTAGGCTTGGTCCCTCCCTGACCCACACAGACAGTAAGGGAATGGCTCCCCTTCTCCAAGAGCCACAAGGAAGCACACTTCCTCAGTCTCACCCAAGGCGGGCAAGGAGAGTGTGTGTGTGTGTAAGGGTGGGGTGGAGGAGAATCACCCTCTAGCAACTTCTGTTTGCTCACAGTATAGTAAAAAGACCTGGGCTTGAAGCCTCGCACTTGCGTTCACTTGATGTGTGTTCTTGCAATAGGTCTGTTTCCTCATTTCAAATATGAGGCCAAGAATTCTTCACCTCCCACCCTCATAGGGAAGTTTAGGAAATTCAATGAGATAACACGTGTAAAAGTGCATTTTTTTTTCAGTGACAGGCATTGTCCAGGTGAAGGACACTCTGCTACAAAGGGCTACTAAGTGGTGCTGTGTGGCTGGCAAAGCACAGATGTGGAGTTCAGACCAACAGCAGCCTCGGCTCCCAGGCCAGAGCAACAGAGGTCACAAACCTTCTAGGCTGTTGGAGAAGCTGCCCCATACTTTGCTTCGCCCTCTCCCAGAGATTTTACTTCACATTCCCCACAGCTACTTCCAACAGGCCCCCAGAAACTCGATCCCCCACTGAGACGTTGGGGGCAGCCAGTATCCCAGGCTGGGTGGTGAGGCACCCAAGGACACTCAGTTGGTGACGTGTGGGAAGGGCTCTACCCAATCCAGATCCCCCTCAGTTAGAGATATCAATCTGGCCTAAACCAGCCTTGGGTAGAGACCCCTGGCCCAGGCAGGGGCCCTGCTCTGGGCAGGCAGTCAAGCAGCAGAGGCCCCATCTGATCCAGGCACTTCCTTTGGTTAATGAGAAACCAAATAAACAGCCTCTGCCCCAGCTGGCTTCAGGAGCACCCCAGCCAGGCCCAGCCCTGCTTGCTCCAGCCAGCCTCCCTCCCCTTCACCGTGCAGGTCCCGTGATTCTCCTCCCCTAGCCTTCTCTGTGCGCTTCCCACTTCCCTCACAGCCCTGCCTACTCCTTGGCTGGTGTGCTGGGGCTTCCTGCTCTGGATCACTAACGAACCCTCCCCTTCCTTCCTCCTCCTCCTTTCCTCTAGTTCCTTCTTACCCATTTTTAGCTGCTGGGATCCCACTTGTTCTCCTCTCCCGATATCTGTCTCAGCCATCTCGATAGCTAATCCCCTACCAAGAAGACTGTGGGCTGCTCCAGGCCCTGCCAGCCTGCGTCTCTGCTGTGGGACTGAAGCCAAACCCTATTCAGGGTACTCACTGCACTCTCAGACCCTCAGCCTGTGGGAGGGAGACTGGGTGCTCAGGGCTTTAACTGTCAGCCAGAAGCCCCAGAGTATGCCATGCTGAGAACTCTGGTGTGCAGCAGAGAGAAGACTCTTCTGGCTAAGAAGCGAATGGGGAAGCCTAAAGCAGCCTCGTTACCCAGTGGGTCAAAGCTGAGACCCACCTCTTGGGAAGTTAGTTCCATCCACCTCCAGGTGTCTTGAGGCAGGGCAGGGCTGGGCCTGTCAGCAGGTTCCAGATCTAGCCCCAGCCAGGTGGTGGCAGTACTTGTGAACACACCCAGGTCCCCATGGGAACAGCCCCTCCCCCATCTACTCTCTCAGTTCAGTTCAGTCGCTCAATTGTGTCCGACTCTTTGCAACCCCATGAATCGCAGCACACCAGGCCTCCCTGTCCATCACCAACTCCCAGAGTCTACCCAAACCCATGTCCATCGAGTCGGTGATGCCATCCAGCCATCTCATCCTCTGTCGTCCCCTTCTCCTTCTGCCCCCAATCCTTTCGAGAATTAGGCTGAGCCTAATGCCAGATTGGGCAGATGCCCGTGGCCTATGCCACAGTGGTGACAGGATGGAGAGGGGGATATGGTCACAGTATCTAGCAGAACAAGAGGGCAGAGGAACTTGTGACGAGGAAGGGCACAGAACACTTGCAGCATCTTGCTCCACTAGGATAGTCACCATCTTCCCACACCTGCCCAGATCACCAGTGTTTTGGTCAGGTGAAAATCATACACACACACACACACACAACTCAATCTCTCTCTGTGTCTCATTCATATATGCACTCATACACTCACACTTCATTCCCCAAACATCACGACATCATTTAACACCCATTTCTCCATGTGTTTTTTTTTAGTTCTCATTTTTTTCTAAGAAAAAAGCAACAAGAAAATAATTCAGAGTTTATACAAAACATCTTTACATTATTTTTTTTTCCAAAAAGACTAGTATTTACACAAATGGCAATAGAAACAAAAACAAAAAAACCCTTTTGACTGCCACCTGGAAGGGGCTGGCTGTTCTGCTCCCTCTCCCACCTGGCTCTGGAGTGGGCAGCTGGCCCGGAGGCAGTGTGGAGGTGGATGGTGGAAGGCCCAGCTCCTTCCATGGCCACTCTGGGAGTGCCTGCAAGGCGCTTGCAAGTGGCAGTCTGTTAGCAGCCGTGCTGGCAAGGAGCCGGGGTCAAAGTGCACGGCGTGCTGGCCCAGCCCTGGGCAAGCCTCTCCCTCTTTCTAAGCCCCAGACCAAGATAGGGGGGCTAGTGGGAGCTGGGTTAAGGGGACACCCACCTGTGATAGAGCCCAGAAAAGGAGCAGGCCACCTGGCCTTATACCCGCTTAGTTCTCCAGCCTGGGCTTCTGTTTCCCCACCAGGCCAAAGGATGCCAAAGGTGAGGGGAGAACAGGGCAGAGGGGAGAGGGGGGAACTCCCAGCTCTGGAGGGCAAATAGCCACCTGGGCACCTCACCTCCCTCCACCCCCCATGAGGTCATCTGCCTGCAGCAGCTCTCCTGTTCCCCAGGCAACAGCCAATTAAGACGTTAATTACCGTGAGAGTGAGGGAGGCAGGAGATGCCCAAGAATCCCACAAGGAAGGGATTTTTTTTGGTGGAAGGGTGGCAGCCACTACCCCATTACCAAGATCAGCACTGTAGAAGGAAGGTCAGTGGGGGAGGGTAAGACACCTTGCCCAATGGCACTCTTGTCTTCCCTCATGGGCAAGAATAGCCCTGGCCTGCCTCCCCCACCACCCCCTGCAAAAAAAAAAAAAAGTCAAGGAGTTTACAAAAGAAATGCCACCCTAGGCTTCCTGACTGGTCACAACCTGCCCCAGGCCCCTGATACTGGGGTAGGCCAGGCTCAGAAAACCTGGGGAGGGGCTGCCTTTTCCATTTTTCCATTTTTCTTAAAAAAAAAAAAAACAGATGAAAATGAGTTGACAGCTAAAAAATGAACACAAAAACATTAAAAACAGTGATGATAGCGGACAAGCAGTCCTGGGAAGGGAGAAAGGGGGCAAAGTGGGGCAGGGCCGGGTGGGGGCGTCTCCCTGCCTGCTGTCCATCAGCGTCCGACCCTGCCCTCCAAGAAGGGGCACCCCCGCAGAGCCCAGAGGCCTGGCCAGAGGGGGAAGGCACAAGAGCATGGGGGCTGGGGCACAAGCACCCCCCTCCGAAGCCCAGAGGGTGCGGCAAAAGGGGGATTATAAAAGCCAAGAAACTACAAAACTAAATACAAAGGTGGGCACAGCTGGCAAAGGGAGGGATGTAGGTGAGGAAGGAGAGGTGCAGTCCCAGCCGACTGTCCCTCGGGACCGAGGCTGCTCAGGCCCTCAGACCTTGTAGTAGATGTTCGCTGGGCTCTGGGGCGGCATCTCCTGGACGATGTAGACGGGGTGCCCGTAGTCCCCACTCACCTTCTCGTAGTGGGGGCAGTAGTTGTTCTCTGTAGTCCGTAAGGGGATGATGATGTCGCTGGGTTCGGTGCCCGCTGTGCCACTGCCCCCCTTGGGACTGGCCAGGGTGCTGAGCGAGAGGGCGGGCGCCCGCTGCTGCGTGTGCTTGCGGTGCCGCTTGCGCAACTTCAGTAGCAGGATGGTCAGAAAGATGATGATGAGCAGGAAGATGACGCAGCCGGCGCCCACAGCTGCAAACAATGCCACCTTGGAGTTGAAGAAGCTGTCGGGGTCCCCGCTGCTGCCTCCATTCCCACCAGAGCCACTTTTCTCATCCTGGTTCACAGTCTCTGTGGATGGGGGAGGGAGGGGAGAAAGATCAGCCAGGGGTCCCAGGGATACATGGCAGATCCTGGGCTATGCCCTGCCTTCCTTCAGAGCTAGCGCCTAAACGGGCAGCCACACGATGGCTTCTGCCCTCTGGGAAACTCCCATACGCTCACCATGCTTGCCGTCAGAGTCACCCATGGAACTCCGACCACCGGGGGCCTGCGTGGCCATCTTGATAGTGTTGTCTGCCTCCTTGCTGGGCCGGCTGGTAGTCATCTGCTCAGGTGTCACAGCATTGGGGTCTGGAGGTGGGGAGAGGGCAAGTTAGCCAGGGAAACTCCGGAAGCACAGGTGCCTTGGTTATGTAGCACCTCCCAGCCAAGAATGGTCTGGATACTGGACCTCAGATACTCTATCCCTGCTACCCCCTCTGCCACTATTTTCCATGCCCCCACACCCAATCAGGAGCATCTGTTGCAAAAGCCCAGCTGGGGAGCCCTTGGCCTGGATGCTCACCTTGCCCAACTTTCATGACGATCTTCATGGTGCGTGTGCGGCACACACCTCCCTCCCGGTTCTCCAGTCCCTCCAGACTCCCATTGGATGTAGCTGCAGCGAGAGGCCAGAGCAGTCAGGGGGAGGAGGGGTCTGCCAGCATTACCTAGAAGCCCTAGAGATGCCTGAGTCCATAAGAATAGAACTGGGAACTTGGGAGTTACAAGCAGTCCCACCCACCTGTGAACCTTTCTACTTCACTCCCACTAGGAAGAGTCTGGGACCTAGCCCCTCCCACAAAGATGCTGCTTCTCTATCATGACCAGGCCTTGGCCCTTCTTTCTTAGTTGAAACTATGTGTGTCTTCTCACTGGGTGATGTGGCTCAGAGGCCAAGCAATTAGAACTCGCAAGGTGAGGGAGGCTTCTCTACAGACTGGAAGGAATCCTAGATTGGAGGTCAGGAGAACTAGATTGGAAACCCAATCCTCTCTCTCCCTGTGTGATCTAGAGGAAGAAGCCCCTTCACCTCTTGGGGCCTCAGTTCCCATAAAGAGGTCTGCCAATTCTGCCATTCCCAAGATTAGATCTTAGGTGGGCAAAGAAAATAAGAGAGAGAGCACCATGGATCGGAGTCCTCTCCCAACTCTTAAGAGCCAGGGCGAGCTGGCAGCAGACTCCATGGTAATCGTTGGGGCCAGAATTCCAATACCAGGCTAGGAGGAGAACATGCCAGTCCTCAAGGGGACTGGATCAGGCTGGGCCTGAAATATGTGTAGTCTCCTTGCACTACTCAGAAGCTCCCACCACTACAGGACAAGACAGAACCACATGGTGGGTAGGGACTCACAGGTAATATAGTAGTCATGGTGCTTCTTGAACTCCAGGCCCATGTAGTTGGGGCTGAACTCCTGGAACTTGATGGTGAAGCGGATTTCCTGCTCTGGCCTATTGCAAGTGACTAGCACATTGGGGTCAAGCACGGTGCTACAGGCCGCTGCCTGCTCAGGCCGCACCAGGTACAGCTTGTAGTACTCATAGGGCCGCCCAGCTTCTGCTCGGGGGCAGATGATGTCCAGCTTGTCTCCAATCTTTGGGTAAATCACCAGCCCCTTCCCGCTCAGGAACCTGCCCAAAAAGAAAGAGAGATGGTTAGCCTTAGGATTGGGGGTCTCTGGCCATTCCCAGAACCAGGAGAGCCGACAATGAGGACCAGGCTAGGCCCACTGGATGGAGATGGAGAGGACAGACATTCTGTTCCTTCAACCTTATGCTGTGGGTGGGGAAAGAGAACCACACTGCCAGCAGGGCGTGGAAGGGGTGGCCCATGGGCAAGGCTGCCAGGCTTTGACTGTTTGGCAGGGTAGGGCACTACCTAGCTGGGAGAGCCCTTTGTCCTAATGTGGCATTTCCGCAGGGGGCTGACGTGGCAGATGGGCTGGGCACCAAGGTGTCGGGTTTGGGCTGCCTGGAGGTGGTGGCCCTGTCCTCCTCTCACCCACAACACACTCACATTCCTTCATAGCCACTGCTACCAGCTCCTCAGCACATGCACATGTGTATGCACTTATGTGCACAGAACACAGAAACACACACAGAACAAGCCCACGCATGCCCTAGAAACCACCCCCGCAGCTCCCAGTCAACAGCTGGGGGTGCACAACCTATCTGAGACCCATGTCTTCTCCCCCATTGGTGCTAATCTTGGACATGATAAGGAGATAGGAACAGACCGTGCCTAGAGCCAAGGGATAATGGGCACAGTCTCCAGCCAGGTAAAGCTCCACACAGCTCTCTCCAATCCCCACTCCCACTGTCTGGCATCCTACCAGGACTCATCCCACCCCCATAATGCAAGAGCCAAAATCCCCAAATCTGACCAGTCTCACTGCTAAGAAGAACAGAGAAAGGGGAGAAGAGGACCAAGCAGGAATGATAGATGATATAGGACAGGGCCCCAAGAACCTTGCTCACCTGCCTTTTATTGACCACACACACACACACACACACACACACACACACACACAGCCTCTGCTCCCAATCCTGAGAGAAAATGGATAAATGCCTCCTGAGCCAGGTTCATCTTCTGATCCAGAAGGCCAGGCACTGGGAAATAGCAAGGGGATGGCAGCTGCCTGGGGCCACGGATTCATATCATCCTGTCTTTGCCTAAGCACACAGTAAGTTCTCTCAGCCATTTCTGAGCCTGGAAAATGTAGGAGAAAGAAGACATGCTTTGGAATCAGCCAGACAGTGGCCCTTACAAGCTCTGCGACCTTGGATGAGCTACCTGATCTCCTTAGGCTTCTGTGTCCTCTATAAACTGGGAGTGGTAAGAGTCCCACCTCTAAGGATGGTGGAGGGGAGACATGATGGCATGTACAGAGCACACAGTTGGCACTCAACCATTTGATTCCTGCTCAGAAATAGTCTGGTCTGCCAAGAGGCAGGAAACCAGACACTAACACCAAGGACCTATGAGCCCAGTCTTGTTTCTTGGGTGGGAAAGAGGAAAAGATGATACAGCTCCATCCACAAGGACTTTACTGTCTAATGTGGGTCGTAAAAATAAATGGTTCATGTGGCAGCAATGGACAGCACCAGGCTATCTGGAGGCTATATGCAAGGATGGTGGCTCAAAAGGCAAGGGCTGGAAGCAGAGAGAGGAAGGAGACAGCTCATCTGACAGGACAGTCAGAAATGGTCCCACAGATGGCTTCTTGGCCTTTTGGCTAAGATGAAGTGTAGAAATGGTCCCACAGAAAGAGTAGGATGAAAGCAGTTCCCAGGGGAGGAATAAGAAGTCAACACCCAGCAAGAATAGACAGTAGTGGCTGGGACACAACACCTAGGCCAGGGATTGTCCCAGTGATGGGTAGAGAAGAGCAGAAGAGGCGGAAAAGCTCAGCTGGGGTCAGACTGAAAGGCGAGGATTACAACAGTGTGGGTTTCATCCAGTTGGGGACAGACTCTCCAGCAGGAAGGGCAATGAAGAGCTGAAAGTAGTGCTTCAACGGAATGAAGTTGATAGTGGAAAAACATGATTCCACTCCCCAAGGACCCATTCCACAGGGACTACAAGGGAGCTCAGTATCCTCAGTATCCTCACCTGAGGGAGGGAAATGATATCCAAGGAGGTAAAGGAACTAGACCAAGCAGATGAAGTAGATGAAGAACAGCAGCCCTCTCTCCATGTCCAGGGAGGCTCCACTAAGCTGGAATCTGCCATCCTGCTATGCAGGAGGGTAAAAGTCACAACGAGAAGGTCTCCCCACTTAGTACCTGGCTTTATCAAACTCCAGAGGGCCAGCAAGGAAGCAGGCATGGGATGGAGGCTCACACAAACATTTGAGAGAAAATACCTCCAACTCCATACACCACAAAAAGCCAAGAAGTTTCACCAAAGCCTTCATAATTCCCAAGGCATTTTTCACTTTCTAATCCTCATACTGGTTCCAGCCAGGCAGTAGGATTAGATCTAACAACTAGAAGGAACCTTTGAGAGCCACTGAGTCCAAGCTCCTCATTTGAGGGAATGAGTAACCAGATGAATGTTCCTATTGAGGGGTGCTCAAAGCCAAGCCAGGGAGCCTAAACTCACCCAGGATGTTATTCCCCAGAGGTCTAAGAGTACCTGAAACATTGGCTGAATCCTTGTACAGCTTCTCCTCCACAAGACCCTACCTGGAGATGACAGCAAGTAGACAGAGAGCACGTATAGGGGTACAGGCCAGCTCTCTTTTCTAACCACTTGGCCCGCCTTACCCATCAGGGGCTTTTGTTAGCTCTGAGCAGTCTCCCATCACCCCTTAGGTTCTGGAGCCCTGGAACCCAGACACAACCAAGGAAACAGATGTCTATATAGTGGGTAGGGGAATGGGAAAGAGAGAGGACTATTGCCCCCAGTATCCCCTCAGACTCTCATCAACCTCAGGAACAGGATTCATGAATATGCATGAGTTTATTTGCATAGCAGCTGGCAGAGGGAAACTCACCTTCCCCTAAAGTGCAGAAGGGAGCAGAGCCTGATGAGACCCGCCTTCCCTGACCCTGGTGCACCACGATGGTGCCTTCTCAGCCTCTTTCTTCCCCACCACTGAGAAAAGTGCATCTGGGCCTGTGAGAAGCCCCAGAAAGTGGCAAGGGGCCATGAGGGGTGGTTATGCAGCCTGTGAGAGTGAAGCCTGAGGTCAGGTAATATGCTAGTCATCCTCTACAGCAGGGACCCTGCAGGTCTCCCTTTATATCCACCAGGAGAAGGGGCTGAGAGGAAGAGGAAGAGAGTGCCTAGTTAAACTGTTTACCCTCCAGTTTTCAAAAACTAGTACTCCCTCCATCATCAAACCAAGCTTTTTTGTCTGGGGCCACCCCCAGACAAAGCCCTTTTCTGGAAAATAAGGGGATTGACATGGCCCAGCAGGAAGCCTGCAGCAGGTCACCATGGTAACCCCTGAGGCCTTCCCTCCTTAGCCTCTGATAGCCCCTGGGACCCCAGAGAGCCACTCCAGGGAGTAGAAGGACTTTCGGGAGGTGGTCTGAGCATTCAGGCTCCTATCTGTGGCCTGCCTCTTCCCCTCCACCCTAACCCGAGTCTGTTCCCCAGGGGAACAGTATGCAGTAGTCAGTACTGGTCAGAGGCCAATTACCCCCTTGCTTCTTTGTCCAGCTAAGCCCCTATTCACCCAAAAACTGACAATCGACAGCAGGGAGAGTTTTGGATCTGCGGGGGTCATGTCTAGAAACCTGCCCACATTCCACCAGCTCTACATTTCTGTCCCTCTCACCCTTCCCTCAGGCCCTAGGAACCTGTGGTCAGAGACTGGCCAAAAGGACAGTCCGGTCTTAGGCCACACCACCACAGGTTTGGTAGAAGACTCTAGCCACAGCTTTGATTCAGTGACTCCGGCACCCCCAAGGGTGGCAGGACCAGTGGAGGACAGACCCCAAGCCAGAGCTCAAGTCTACACTCATTCCAGCAAGGGTGGAGAGTCCCCAAATTAAAGGCTCCTCTTTCACTCCCCCAGCTCCACCCAGCCCCCGAGGCAGCAGGAGCAGGCCTGGCGTGTCCCAGCAGTGCCCGCCCAGGCGTGGGTGGGCAGGAACAGCAGCTGGGTCCTGGCACACACACAGTGCTGTCAGAGGCAGGGAAGCCAGGAGAGCCCCAGAGGAAGTCACCCCTCAAACACACACCTACACTAAACCATGCCTCCCCTCTGCCCCACCTGGCCAACACTAGGGCCCACTGGGGGCTCAACAGCCCCTTCCTTGTTGTCTGCTTTCTGTGGGGTCCCTAAAAGGCAGTGAGACTCCTGGCCCAAAGAGGAACTAAGGCTGCTGTTTAGAGCTCAGGAAGAAGTGTGCCAGGCATGGAGCAGCCTGCCCTCAGATGGTGGCCTAGGAAAGTCAAATGAGGAAGCTGGAGCACTGCTCATCCCACGTGGGCAGAGCCTGAGTCACAAGGACAGATGCACATACACCTGTGAAGTGAGAGGGGAAGCCGGCGGCTAGAGCCAGCGCCTCTTCCCAAACCCTGTCTCTCCCATACCCCAAGGCAGCAGGATGGTGTGGAAAGAACAGCACAAGGCGGCTCTCCCTGCTAGGAGCTGACTGACTTGAAACAAGTCACTTTCCTTTTCTGGGCAAATGCCTCATCTGCAAAATAGGGGCAATTCTAACTTCCCAGGGCTTTTGGGAACATCCAATGAGCTCACATATGAAGATGCTTTGGAAGTAGCAAGGTACTGCCCAACTGTTAGTTAGCACACCAAATACCATTTAGAAGAAACTGAAGAAGCTTACTACACTCCTGGCTGCCAGTGCCCCTACCCAAAATGACTACCATGAAAATCCACCCAGGAGGGGCTGCCACAGCGTCCAGGGCAATTAACCCCATATATGGCTGGTGAGCATCCCCCTACCTCAGCTCCCCTAATAATCATAGGGTGGATCCTCCCTCTAAAACTACTGTTCCCATGGCAACCAGCAGCCTCCTGGCTGGCCCACCCGCTCCATAATCCCAACACCAAAAAACAGTGATGCACAGTAGTATCCAGGGCCCACCCATCCCCACCCACCACAGTTGCTGAGGCAGTGGAGAGCCTGAGAGGAGAAAGGGAACCCTAGATTCAGCTCCTGGCCCAGCCTCACCAGGCCCTTCTTGCCCTGGCCTGAATGCCTGGGGTTGCGGGAGGGAGGGAAGGGAACAGGGAACTTTAGGAGCTGCTGGGTTCCCATCGCTTTCAGGCCCCCACCTGTGGCCAATCAGCCACAGAGTAAAAGAGGTCAGGTCCCTAGCCGCCCCGGAAAGGGGCCCCCTGAGCTGGCCTCCCCAGGACTGTGAGCTGGAACAGCTGTGAGGGGGCTGGGACCAACACTTTGGCTTACAGCAGGCAAGCCTGGGTTGGGGTCTGCAGCTGCCCCCACCCATGCTGGATGGAGTCAAGGGTCCTGGATGCCAAGCTGAAACCCCCACCCCCACCCCTTGCAGGGAAGGTGTAATATGATCTCAGGCACATTCCCACTCCCTGGAGGTGGGGGAACCTGAGTGGGGGGCAGGAAAGGGTCAGAACGGGACTGAGAGACTGAACTGCAGCAGCTGGACTTGGCTGAGGACTCAAGTATGAGGCCTGCCGGCTGCCCCAAGCTCTCAGGGGAGGAGGCTGAGGGAGGGGGCTGCCCTGGGACCTTCCATCACAGCCCCCCACCCCCACCGATCCAAGCATGCTCACGCACTCTGGTTCCTCCCAACCTCTAGCGGGCCCAGACCCATCTTCTCACACTGCACTCATTGGGCAAATCTGACAAGAGGGGCCAAGGAGGCAGATGCTCTTGCTACCATAGACTATCACTCTGGAAGGCCACAGCACCAACTGGGGTAAGATGCTGAGAGTCTGGAGCCAGCCCTTCCAACTCTCTTCTGGTCAGAGCTGGGGCTCCCTGTACCCTGGAACCTGGAAACATACCCCCAGCCCCACCACTTCTTTATTTTGATTTTTTTCCCAAGGAGGAAGCAATTAAGCAGGGTTTATAGGCACTGGGAGAATTTTTTTTGGGGGGAGGGGGGTTGCCAGCCCCTGACAGGACTGAGGAGAGAAACCAAAAGCCGGGAGGAAGAGGGGAGGGAAGAGAGAAAATGAGCCTGTGAGGGAGAGCACGGGCATGTGCGAGAAACAAAAGGACTTGAGAAAAAGAGGCAGAGAGTGACTAAGAGTGAGAGGGAGTGTGAGAAAGAGGGAGAGCCGGGCAAGTCGAGCTGGAGAGGGGAGGTGAACGCAGCTCACACAGGGTGTGAGAGGGTGAAACAACAAGGGCCTGAGACGGAGAAGTCAGGCAAGAGGCAAAGAGGGAGACACGGACAGAAAGAGACTGTTGATTTGAAAGACTGTGGGAGCTCAAGGCTTGGGCGCGGTGGCAGAGGCAGCCCCCAGAGCTCAGAGTGAAGCTGAGGGCAGTGCCTTCCTCTTGTCCTCCTGCACCCCGCCCCCCACAACCCGTGCCAACACACACAGACAGGCTGCATTCCAGACCCCGGAGTATAGACGGAACATGGATTGGGGGGGCTTAGGGGCACCAGGATCAGTCCCCCACTGTTCCTAGAATCTGCTCAATTACAGGATGGAATTCGTGCAGGTCCTACTCAGGCCCCAGCTACCACCCCCACCACCCCCAGGATGCCTGCCCTCAGCCTGAAGTAGATCTAGGAGGGGGGCAGATCTCAAAAACCTGTAAACTGGTCCAGAGCACTCAAGGCTCAAAACACAAAAAGGGTGAAGCTCAGGGAGATCTTGTTTCTCCCAGTTCCACCCCCCGCACTCTGCAGGAGGGCTTCCTTCCAGCTGTGGAGCAGCCTGCTATCTCTGGTTAGAGACCCGAGAGAGCAATTAGGTCACTCCCATGAGCCCCTATGATGGGATACCCCAGGCGGATTTCAGCTCTCCATACTCAAGAGAACATTTCCAGCCTCCACCTTTACAGGAGAGAACTGGGAGCTTCACAACCTTTCTCCTTGGGCTGAGCAGCCCCAGGCCCCAAGACCATTTTGAGTCCCTGCTGTTAGCAGAGCACTGTGCCCAGTTCGGCTTTTGAGTAAAGAAGAAATTCTTGTCAATCCCTTTCCTTGTACCCTGACCCTGGTTTAGACATTCACATTTAACTGATAAATAGGACCCTACCTTAACTCAAGGAGAAGAGAACTAAAGAAGCTGCCCTCTTCCACTCCAGAGCTGAGAGATGCACTGCCCCTGGAACCTAAGAGGCCAAGGCAGACAGGAGCTCGGGAAGTTAGCGGGGAGCCCAGGAGAGTGGACAGAAAGAGATTCCAGATATAGGAATCATACAGATAGGGCAGGCCTAGGGCCCCCAGTTTCCCACTAAGTGAGGTGTCCGCACACTGCTGGGCCCTCCAGAAAACAGGAAGGAAAAGCAATTTTGACCCTGGGTTCCAACCTAAGTCCTGGATGCCAAAAGAGAAAAAGGTCCAGAGGTCACTACACAACCCAGCGACTCCCCACTAACAGCCCAGAAACCATTGAGCCACCGCCCTGAAAGGTGTGTGGTTGAGGGGGGGGGGGCGGGGGTTGGGCGAGGATTGTGAAAGGGAAGAATAAGAGAAAAGAAAGGATCTTCTCTACATAAACTGCCTCCCCAACCCCTTTGAGAAAGCTAAGCACAACTCCCCAATCTGAGGGACGGGGAAGATGGGGAGGAGCAATGGGACCAGCCTGGGCAGGAATCTTTCATTTGCCACCCACCTCCCTCGCCAGCTCGGCCGCCACACTCCACCCCGGCCAGCCCTGGAAGCTCTGCTGTCGGCTCCATTGGACCCCCGACGGGCGATGGATCGAACCCCCCCCCCCCCAACAAAACCCCTTTCCCACTCCGCCCCTCTCCACCCGCCGCCTTTGTGAGCCTGGGAGCGGCGCCCGCCCTTCCACGGCCCCAGCAGGGAGAAAGGTGGCGGCGGGGTGGGGGGGGGGGGCGCGAGGGCTGGAAGAGGCAGCAAAACGAAAAGCTAGGGAGGCGAACTGGGAAGAAAGAAATGAAAATGGGAGAAGCCTGAATCAGGATACAGGCGCTGCCACCCGCTCCAAGCGCGAAGTCCCGCGCCGCGGTCCCTTCACTGCTAAACAAACGGGGAACCAGTGTTCTGGCCTCTTCCCCTGCCCAGGTCAAGCTCGCCCCCACTCCCCAACCCCGCCAGCGGCTCTCCGCGAAAACCGCCACGTTCCCAGGGGCCCTAAAGGGGGGCTGCTTTCTATCCCCCACCCAGCTCTCCGGTGCGCTCTAGAGCGCTCCGACTCCCAGCTCTGCCCGGCGCGACAATCTTGACTTGATTTGGGACGTGCGGAGGAGAGAGCCGAGAAGCCGAGGGGTCACAATCCAGCCAAGTGCCCCCACCCAACCCCGCCGCACCCTTCCCCGCCCGTCCGCAGGGAAACACACTCGAAAAAGCCAGAGACAAAATAGGGCGCCGCTCCTCCTCTGAACACCTTCCCACAGGCGCTCGGGGGCGCGCGGCCTCACCCCGAAGGAGTGCCTCCCACCCTCAGGGACCAGAAGAGATAAGTTACTCACTTGGGGTTGAGAGAGCTCCAGGACACGGGCTCCAGATTCTTGGCCAACGGCGTGGCGAGCCGGCATAGCGCCAACACGACCATCGCGACAAGCCACTTGCCGAGCCAACGCTGGCCAGGACGGGCCATCTTCCCGGGGGCAGGCTGCACTTCGGGATCCCCTGGCACCTCCTCAGCAAAGCTGGCCTCGCCTTCCCGTGCCGCGCTGCGCTCCGAACCTCTCAGGCGCCCATCCTCCGCAGCCGCCGGCCTTGAAGTGCTCCCCTCCCGCCGGCTTTGGTGTCTTTCTTCTCCGCCCCGCCGGCCAGGAGGACTCACTGGGCAGCCGCCCCCAACTCCGGCATGAGCTGCGGCCTCCGAGGGCTCGCTCCCCTGGCCTCTCTGCCACACGAAGCACGACGGGGGCTCTGCCCCCCACCGGAGGATCCCTTCCGATTCCACTCGGCTCCCTGAGACCGTTTGGGACTGTGTGCCCTCTCCCCGACGGGGTCTCCCCGCTGGGGACTTGGTGGCCGCCCCGACGCCTCAACCGTCCTGGAATCGGCACCCCTGGGAAGAAGTGGGAGTCTCCCCACCACAAGAGCTCGATCCGGGGGCTCCCGACCGGGCCGCCCTTGCACGGGCTCCGTTCCTCCAGGCCACACTGGAACTCCGGGCTGGGCGCCCCTCGACAGCTTCGACTTCAGCGCGGGCCCCGCTTAGTGTATTTAGAAGAGCGGGGAGAAGCTGCCGAGCAAGCCAGTCCCATCAGTTTGCGCCTCTGAAGCCTAGGCGTTTGGCCTGGCAGCCCAGTCGCCGAGTCCTAGCTTCCCGGCGACTGCGCCCGAGGGTCTGCGTTCAGCGCGAGGCTCACACACCTCCCACTGCTGTCCAGCACGCATAGACTCCCTCCGCTGCTGCTGAGCTGTCTACTCCCCTGCTCAGGCGTACGCAAGGCCAACCCTACTCATTTTAGCCAATAGCAAGCTCCGTAACGGGGTCCTTGCCCCGCACCACGCCCCTAGAAGAGGAAGGGGGCGGGGTTTTGGGAACTCTTAAGGACGCCGCACTCTCGATGGCACCAATCTGAGTGTGCGGCTCGTGCGGTTAGGGATGGGTCCCGCCTAGTCCTGTTCTCAGAGCGCTCTGCCCGTGGGAAGTTGGCGCTCCTCTAGAGCTGTTGGCCTGCTCTGCTCCCTGCGCGCCTGTTCAACACTCCGGCCCACTGCCCTGGGCCAGACAGGTCCTGTCACGAGTATCCCGGGAAAGTACTGCCATTCTTGTTACACACGCGAGCTCTGAAGTTTTTGCTCCATGCCCACCACTGTGGCAAAGATGACTTGTTTACTGCCTGTCCCTTCTCTCACAGGACTCTGGTAGGCTTTCCTCCTTTCACCTTCGCAATGCAGTCGACACTTGCACATGGACCCGGAGTCCTGAACAGACAAATGGATATCGGTGGGTGGTGGAATCTCAGGGGGCTCAAGTCGGGGAAAGAGGAGGGTGGGGGAGAATTTCTTCGCTCCTGGGGACTAGGCCTTGGAAATCTCAACTTTGGAGAAGAGCCTTGTGGGACACCAGGAACCCAGATTTCGAGTCTTGTCCTGTCTGAAGGTATGGGCAAGGCCCCGAGACAGGCCAGCGGGAATGAGAGGGCACCTCGATAAAGAATGACGCAAAGAGGAAAGGTTATAGGGCAGAGGCACCTTTAGAAAATGCAAAAGCAGATGCCCTGGCCCCAGCACACCAGACTCCAGCGCCTCCCAGGCTCGCCATCTGGGTCTTTGTCTCCCAGCCCTGGCCTGTTCTCCCCGCCCCTCCTCGCTTCTTTGCTTATAACTTTGGCTCAATCCCATAGCTCAGACCCTCCAGGTCCGACCCACTCTCCCTCGTCGGACCTCAACAGATGTACCCACATGCTAATGTCTCCCCCTACTGGACTTTTATAACACTGCCGGCGCCTGGGACCGACTGAGAGTGCCCACTCCAACAGGAGCGTGGCACACACGAGCCTGGCACACGCGCTCGAGCGCAAGACCCAGGACAGGGTAGTGGCCTTGGCTAGAACCGCGGTCCCCTATGGGGAGGAAGAGAGAGCACTAGGAGGAAGATCTGAGTTTGGAGTTGGCTCAGGGATTGCCGAGGACTTAAAACCCCTTTGCTGCTGCTTTATGGAGATAACTAGCAACACTCCCGAAGTGCTCTGCCATTTACATAGTTTCCTGTCCTTCTCTCACTTAAAGAGAAGGCTGAGTTACTGACTTTCTCACTGGATCCTCTGATGACCTCTTTGGTTCATAGAGTGGACCTATATTTGGGGGAAACAAAGAGAGGGAAGTGGGTTATTCTCACTTCCAGGAGAGGAAGTGGGTTACTCTCACTTTCAGGAACAGGGCCTAGAGGATGAGAAGGATATGGGTAGAAATAGAAAAGAAGGAGCTGTTTAGGGTCTCTCACCTCCCTCCTGGATTCCTTATTAGGGTGTGAGCAAGGAGAGACAAGAACAAGGTGCAGGGACACATCAATAGACCAAATTGGAGACTAGGATTGTCCAAAGGGCATGGAAGGACAGCAAAACCTGAGGATGGAAAACAACCTGCCACTTACTGAGTGCCTACTATGTTCTAGGAACCATGGTAGAGGCATTTACCTTCACAATCCTTTGAGATGAGTTCCACAATCCCTATTTTACATAAGAGGGAAAACTAAGGCTCAAGGGGAAGTGACTCATTTAAGGTCATGGAGCTGATTGATGGTAGAAGCAGAATTTGGCCCCAGACTTCTCTGTCTCCTAAGCCTGTGCCCAGTTTCCTATACCATACTGAGTCACCACATTTCCAGCCTCTCTTCTTGCTTACTTGCTTACTTACTTCATTCCTGGTTAAAAGCTGGTTCATGCCTGGAAAGCAACATCAGGATGGCCAGGACTCCACTCTTCACTCACAGTCCTCTGAGGGGTTTCTAGGCCTGGGGAAGTTCATCTATGTCCCTGGCCACATCCCCAAGTTCCCAGCTAAAGTCACCCACCGTCAATCCCAGAACCAGCCTCAGATTCCACTGCTAATATGCCCAGTGCCCTTCGGGAGGTGAGCCCAGGTGGGGGGCTGATCAGGTTGGGGATGGGGCAGATGAAGCTATGCTGCCAGACTTGGGAATCCTGGGAAGACAGCAGCAGCTCCTGAGTGTGCTAACACCTCATCCTGGGTGGGGAAGGCACAGAGGAAAGAAGAGAGGACTCTGTGTCTAGGCCTGCTCCACACACTGGTCACCGCTGGTCATGGTGCAGCCTTTCTGCCTCAACCTGCCTATTGGAGCCTCAGTAGCAGGGCTGGGCCTATTCCATGCTGCAGGCAGGGCCAATGACTCCAGGATCCCAGCTCCTGCCCTACCCTATCAGGGCCTCTTATGTAGTGATTCATGCCCCCTAAGGTAGGGAAAATTACTCCCCAGGGAAGCTGAAAAGGAAGTCAGGATCTGGGGGATGTGGACTCTCTCTTACCCAAGCTCACTATCCTAGTGGCAGTCACACACCTTCCCAAGCCTCCCAGATCAATGTTCCCGAACACACACACCCCTCAGGGTTAAAGTCAACCAGGGTTTCCTGAGCACTGATCCTGTGATTACCTCTGAGCTGAGATCCAAAGAGGAATCCCACCAAGCCCTGCCTTCAAGAATCTCCAAGCAGATGGAAATCTGTATGTAGGGGCCTTCTGAACCCAGGGGTGCAAAAAAACATCTGGCAGCTGCAGGAGGCCTCAGGTATCATAACAGCCCCCCCAAGAGAGCTTCAGAACTCAGCTTCCCACACCCACGGGAGGCATGGAGTTATGGACTTCAGAGCCATAGAGTTCACTGCTTATCAGTTGTATCTCCTTGGTCAAGTCGCTTCCCCTGTGTGCTTTAGTTAACTCTTCTGTAACCTGGAGATCATCTCTCCTTCATGGAACTGTGCTGAGTGGGGAGTGAGATAATGCACAGGAAGGTCTAAACATCACAGCCAGCCCACCATGGTGCTTACTAAATGGAAACTATTATTCCTCCACTGGGCCTCCCACAGAGACACCATCATTCCCAGTCATACATGTTCTCACCCGTTCACACATGCTTTATGTGCCACACGCACATTTTTTAGCTCTTCTCATATTCTCACACATGTACATATTCATATATGAACTCACTGTCTTTCTTGCCTATCGATTCACACAGCACCAACTGACAGGCCTGGTTCCTACCCCTATGGGACATAGAGTCTAGCCTCCACATTTTTCTCATGGGGCTGTCCTGTCCATGTGCATGAACATTCACACCCCCTCTCTTATTACCATGGCCCTTGTCCTTGACCCTTCCTTGTCATTTTTGTACTCTGAGACAAGAGAAGTGAACTTCCTCACCTAAAGCCACACAACCAGGGAGAAGAAGAGTCAGGATTCAAACCTGGGCCATAGAGTTGTGTAACTTGAGCTTAGACACATGACTCTACTCAGATACTCCAGGGCCCTGGAAAGGAATATGTGTCAAAGTGTGGACTTTGTACAGTGAAGGGTCAGAGGACAGGAAGCTTGCCTTGAGGCCTGGGGTGATGCCAGCTGGGACTACTCCATGAGGCTAGCAGCCCTCTCTCCTGTCTACAGTCATCTCTGGCCTACCCTAATCCTCCTGTCTGTCCCCTTGAAGACCCACAGCCTCTGCCTGCATCCTCTTCACAGATATACACAACTGATCCCTACAGGGAGAGGGAGAGTTGTGTTTCTTGAACCCCATCTGTATGCCAGGCACTGTAGCTGGGCACTCTCACCCTTGGTGCTATGCTATCTTTGTTTAATTCTCACAACATCCCTGAGATTGATACTGATAGGCCTATTTTAGAGAAGAGAAAACTGAGGCTCCAGGCTCAATCAGGCTGCATTCCCTGCCCCTACCACCCTCAGCCTGCAGAGCTCTTTCTTACCCAGCCAACTTCTTTGTCCCACTAGCCGCTTCTCTCCTGGTCTTCCTCTGCCTTCACTGCCCTCTAGCAGAGACCACCTGGTGTCTGTGTTGAGCTCAGGCTGTCCTCCCTGCCCAGGGTGGGAGCCTTCCTACTCTTCCTCCCACCCCTCTCCTGGCTGAACCACACCCCAGACCAAGTCCCAGGTGGGTAAGCCCTGCTA